GAGAAATCTGCTTCTCTTCGGCTGTGTTTTTTAAAACTGCTGGTGTGAATGCTTGCACCTGAGATAGCAAGCCAAGTCTTAACCCACGGAAGGGAGAGCTGCCTTCCCTTTGTGTTTGTGTTTTTGAGAAGTTCCTTGACTTTGAGGTGGTAGAAGTCAGCTTCCCTTTGTAAACTGCCTTAATTTTATTTTATGTTTTTTTTACCATTTTGGTTCTCTCCACATGAGTGCCAGGCATGGCATGAGGGCTGAACCTTTTAATTTACGTTAAGCAGTCCTTCCTCAAAAAGGTCTTTCATGCTGCATCTTAGATGTAGTCTGTTCTTGAAGCAGCCCAGTGAGGCATTGCTGCCTGGAAACTGGTCTATGAGATGCTCAGCAGAACATTCACAGTCGGAGGGAGAGGAGCTCTGTCTCACTCTGCGTTTGGCAAAGACGCCCTTCAGCCCTGAAACCCAGTCTGTTCTGCCTGGCTGTGCGAGTCCTCCCGACGTCCTTCCCAGCCCTTTGCAAACTGGTACCCGTGGAACCATCCCTGTGGTGTTTTACAGCAATAAAGAGCTGCCAGCAGAGTGGGGGGCCTGGGCAGGCGGGCGTGGGGCCGTGTCCCTCCTGCCCTGCTGGCCTGGGGCCTCCGCCTTCCATCAGGATGTCACTGCAACCCTGTCACACACCTCTTTAGCTTTCAGTCCTGTGGGGTTGAATTGGAGTTTCTACATGAATCATAATCAATTATACTCTGCATTTGGTAAGAGACACTCGTCATGCAATATGTGGGTAATAAATGGTGTTGATTTCTTCCTTTCCTTCTTCCCCCCTCCTGTTTCACAGTTGGCCTTTGTCACTGCTATTGGCTCTGGAGTGTTTTTTACACAGAAATTGTAAGCCTGTAATTTAACACACAGATGGAAACGTGTTTGGTTTCCATCAGCCACAAACAATGCAGAAACAGAGTGTTAGAGTGGAATGACTGGGTTCAATTAGGACTTTTTTTATTTCCAAGTCTTCTGATGAACAATCTGTATTTATATATTGATCTCAATGAGCAGCTGTGGAAGCTTCCTGAATTGTGCATGTTCTTTTTATACCGCCCGTGTTGCTTTTAGCCTCTAGGTGGATATTGGATATGTCCCCATGGGCTGTTAGCAGCCCCGTGGCTGATGAGTGTGAAGGGGAGGGAGAGGAGAGAAAGAGAGGGGTTTGGGATCAAGAGTGTCCCGGGGTGCTGAGCAGATGCTCTGAAGAGCCCAGAAAGTGAGTGCCCATTACCAAGGAGTTGGTGGTGGCTGGGTTTGGCCAAGTGTGCCCTTGCATGTGGCACCTCTGGCACTTCCTCCTGTTGTCTGACACAAAGCACTCCCTATGGCTTCCTCCATCAAGCTTTTTGGCTTGGGAAGAGCAAGCTGCCATCTTGGTTTAAGTGTCACCCTGTGGTTGCTATGGATGTATTGGAAACCCTTTAGCATATGGAGACAAGGTAGTCTTGGTGCAGTATTATTTCCCCTCTGCCTGCATGCCATGGGGACCTCCTTGTTCGTTTGTGTACTGGTGCTGAGAAAGGTAGGACTCAAACTGCTCAAATGGAACAATGCAGCATCTATTTATTAAGTTATTCCCCACCTTCCCAAAAGCCAGGACTTAGAGAGCTTGAACTCACACTATTCCAAGGCTCCTTAGTTCCTTAAGGGAGAAAACAAGTAAGGAAGAAATGGATGTTTTTTGCTCTGTAGATCTCCAGATGTTTTGGGTAGGGATCCAAAATATTTACTTGGGCTATTACAGTGCTAGACAGCTGTCTTTTCAGATGTTGTTCCAGTAAGTGCCAATGCTGTTCATAATTGTTTTCCAGTGTCATTAAGAATTTGGTTTTTGTGCAAATTTCTCATCTGAACCTGGAAGCAGGTGGTAATTTTTAGTTCCTACTTTTAAGGACAATACTCTGTTAATGAAAACGGATCCTCTTCACAACTTTGGTGTATTGTAGATTATAATGAAAGATGTAAAATATTCAGGCTTTTTTCCTTTTTTGGACTTTGTATTTTACTGCATGTCTCTAATTTTTAATCAATAAAGAACAAATTGTCCATTACCATGTGTTTGGTGTGTGGTTTACATGTCATTGGGTTGGATTGTGTGTCTCAGGGAAGGGTTTTGTCTGAGGGTGTCTGCAGCACCTGGGGCATTTCTGTTTGGGATGGAGGTGAGGAAGAGGTGAGGATGATCTGCAGAAGCAGTGAGCAGAAAGCGGAGCCAGGGTGGCACTTGAGGTTGTACCCTGAGGACTTATCTCCAGCTGAAAAGTTTGCTCCAAGCTTTGCATGCCTTGTCCAGCTGGGGAAGATTCTCACCTATCCAGGAACACCTCAGGGTGATAGAGGCTGATATTAAAGTGGGATGATTTATATAATGGGAAGCATTTGGAGTGTGAACTGCACTCCCTCCTCAGTACCTCCAGAACACTTTTTTCTGAATTTGAAGCTTCATTGCAGCTCTGATCCAGAGATGCCTCTGAGGTCTCTCCCTTAGGTTTGTCTTGGAGCCAGAGCTTCAAGAAAATGCACTGATGGTGAGAGGTAGAGCCCAGGCATGTCCTCATTTCTTCTCATCCTGACAGCTGTGAGCTCTAGCTCTGCTGTTCTTCTCTCTAAGCACCAGAGTCCCCTGTTGTGGCCTGATCGTGGACTGCTGCTCATGCTTTGGGTCTTGTCCAGGTGTGCAGGTTGGCAGACTGTTGGTAAACCTTGCCACAAGATTGAAAACACTTATGACCTGGAATTGAGCCACTGCCATGGTTGTGGTAGTAGATTTATCATGGAGAATGTGGCAATTTTATGTCAGTTAAACTGAGTAGGCAGGTCATGGCATGGTCATCCTTTAATGGCAACCTTGGCCACAACCTCTTAGTGCCATCTTGTGTCATTCTAAAGGGAAGTGCCTGGTTGCAAGCAGACTGCCTGACTCCCTCTGGGAAAGCCAACTCCAAAGCACTGCAGTGGAGAAACCCTAGAGTTTTCCTTCAATATGTCTTGCTTGTCCTCCCTGAAGGAAGGAAGTTCTCCAAATGAAAGTAAATGTTACCTAGGAAGTAAAACCTCCTAATATTTCTCACTGGAGGTCCTTTTGGAAACTTTCCCCTGCTGTGTATCTTCTGTTCCCAAGGTGCTCTGTTCATTCAAACTGTGACAGCTTTGTTAACATGATTTACCCAGAGTGGGGTTTTGTTTGAGCAAGCTCTTAGTGTCTCCTTAAGGAGAAGCAGAAAGGATCTTCCCACTCAGAGTGTGGGAATGGAGGTTTCTTTAAAGCTTTCATGGATTGTCAAGGGCAAGGTGTGTCTTTTGGGAGGGGATAGGGATGGTTCAGTTCTAGGAATGTTCTTCAGGTCTTTTTGGCTGTGATGCACCCATCTATGTCTGCTTAAAAATATGCATGTTGCTTAAAAAACAAACCCACACTCAAAAGTGTGGTGCTTTTGGATGGTGGCACTTCATAAGGTGCTTCCATTCACTCTCTTTTCTAAGCCTCCTGGACTTAGTTTGCTCTTTTCTGGCTCTTTAGTTCTCTTCAGGTATTTTTCCTTACTTGCAGACTCAGAAAACTTTATCTCAGGTGAATGTAACTTCCAAGTTTAAGACCTGGGATGGTAAGGGACGTTTTGGTCACTGACTCTCATCCCTTGTGTCTCAGCCAACTTCTTTGCAGTCTTTTCAGTATTTGGCCAGACTCTACTTAGAAAGTCCTAGAGAATTATATTCCAGTTTTGTCTCCCATCTCTGCCTCTGTAGGAAGTCCCTTTGTGGACACTCCCAAAGGCTTTCCATGCTGCTTTAGTCCAGTGCCTTGTAGTCCTCCTATGACCTGAGTAGTCCACTCCGGTTATCTTCATCTTTGGATGTTTCCCTTTGAGGGTGCTTACCTGAGGTGTCTCCTACTGCCCATGCCTCTGAGTCTCCCTACCCTTCCTGCATCAGGGATAGGCTGAAGGGAGCTGGATTCATGTTCTCAGATGTTCATTTTAAGGCATGAAGGTGTTTGAGATGAGATTTACCAAACCTGCTTCAAGTGGTGTTGCCTTGTGTCAGGTTTCCCCCATCCCTGTATGCCTTCCCAAACTCCTCCCTGCATATTAGCCCCCACCAGCCTCCAGGGTGGCCAGAACTGATGGGAAGGGTGGTCATCTGGTGTGTGGCTGCACTGGGAAGCTGTGAAGGATGAAGGAAGTAACAATCACAAAATAGTTTGGGTTGGAAGGGACCTTAAGGTTCATCTAGTTCCAACCCCCCTGCATGGGCAGGGACACCTCCCACCAGACCAGGTTGCTCCAAGCCCCATCCAACCTGTTGTTGAACACTGCCAGGGATGGGGCAGCCACAGCTTCTCTGGGCAACCTGTTCCAGCATCTCACCACCCTCATAATGAAGAATTTCTTCCTAATATTTAACCTAAATTCCCCTTTTCCACCTTAAAACCATTCCCCCTTGTCCCCTTGCTACAAGCCCTGGTAAAAAGTTCCTCTCCAGTGTTCCTGTAGGTCCCCTTGCCTGGGACTGCAGACAGCTGACCATGCTTCCTCATCTCTAGCTCTACCCAGCCATTAGCACAGCTCCCTTTATTCCCCTGGACTTTTCCCAGCTCTGCACCAGGCTGGGCTGTCTCGGCCCCTCTGAACCTCACTTTCCCGAGTGGAAAAAGCAGGTCAACAAATGCAATACTTGCTTTGGAGAAGAGTCTTCTCCCTTGTCAGTGCCACCCAGGTTGCCTGAAACCAGGGCCCTTCTGCTCCAGCAGCAGAAGGCACCATAAGGCTGTGAGAGCCACGGAGGTGATTAATGTGTTACGTGGTGTACTTGGGAGGGGTAAAATATCAGGCCTCGTCTAGCCTGACTTTACATATTTGTGGTGGCCGCCTCTGACTGCAGAGCTTATTTTAGGTTTAAACATTAATTCCAGCCATCTGCAAAGCCTGTCCCAGCACTGTCCTGTTCCAGAAGAAGCTGCCAATGTCACGCGTCGGGGAAATCCTGAAAGCGGTTGGTGATTTTGGGCCATTTCAGAAGCGGCTGGTGCTGATCACTGTGCTTCCATGCCTCAGCGTGGCTTTCCACCAGTTTTGCCAGCTTTTTATGGTGCCAAATGTGCCTCACCACTGTGACACCAGCTGGATCCGTGCCGTGGGGCCCAACCTGACAGAGGAAGAGCAGCTGAACCTCACCCTGCCCCGGGACGCGGACGGGGCGTACGAGCGCTGCTCCCGGTACTCGCCGGTGGGCTGGGACCTGGGCTCCATCCTGGCGTACGGCCTGAACGCCACGGAGGGCTGCAGAGATGGCTGGGTGTACCCCTCAGCACAGCCCCCCTCCCTGCTCACCGAGGTCTGTAACCACCTTCTGATGGGGTGGGGGCGTGGGAGGGGAAGGGATGGACACATCTGGTCCTTGGAGCTTGGGAACCCAGTGCCAGCTGTGGGTCCGTCAGGCTGAGACCTTTTGGGGAGCTTGACTCCATCACCCAACCACCCCGGTGTGGTCCTGGAGGGGTTGCATGCAAGCAGGCTGCAATATAGATACCAGCAGGGCTGCAGGCAGAGCCAGCCGAGAGATTAATCACGCTTGGTGGGACCTTTTTGGTCTCCCTGCCCCAGCTGCCTATCTGCAGACAGTAGGTAACCTTCTGACTTGTCCCTGGGCACAGCTGTGTGCTTTGGACACCCCGGGCAGGGGGAGGAGGCAGGGATCAGCTCTTGACTTCTGCTCCCTCTCATGGTGGGAAACTGCTAGGGTGAGCAGCTGTGGGGTCTGCTGCAGGGTCTGGTCATGGCCACTCTAGCTAAAGGTTATTCCAAACAGCTCAAGTTCCTCATCACTCCTCACTCTGTGTGGAGCTACCAGGTTTGATGAAGAGAGCTTGCAATGACTGTCACCAGGAGCTCCAGCAACAGCAATGCCCCAAGAGCAGAGCTAAAACTTCTTCCATCACTTCCCAACCTCTCTGTATCTCCTGTACGTGCTCCCCCCTGTGTGGCTCTTTCTGTAGATACTTTCTGGATGCTGACACTTGCAGAACATCTCTAACAGAAATCACTTGGCCCAGGAATCAGTGTGACACTCGTCCTTTTTCCTCTGGGAGGAAAGTCAGTCTAGGATAAAGCAATCTGCTGGGGTTTCTGTCCCACTGTAAGCAAACTTTGCCAAGCAGGAGGCTCCCTGGGGCTACCTGGGTTGGGGGGGGATCCCTGCAGGTCTCAGTGCTTGGGAGAGGGGCACCATTGAGTGCCCCATGAACTTGTCTCACCACTAACTTGTGAGCTTTGTGCACACTGTGGAGACTTGTGCCCTTGGGGGGTGGGATGTCTGCTCCTGGGGGCTGGAGCAAAAGCTTGGGCATCCCACTCTTGAGTCCATGTTGGGCAGCTAGAAGGGCCATCTACCCTCAGAAAGCAGCTGGAGCCTGCTGAGAGTGAAAGCATCTATGTTTTCTTCCTATAGTTTGACCTGGTGTGTGACAGGAAGGACCTGCATGACATCTCCCAGTCTGTCTACATGCTGGGTCTGTTCCTAGGATCCCTCGTCTTTGGGCCACTAAGTGACAGGTGAGGAGACACCATGGCCCTGCCAGAGTCTGCACAAGCTGGTGGAGTGACAGGCTGCTCCCAGCCTCCCTGGGCACTGCACCCTGCACTTTTTATCACCACTCCTCACTATCAAGGACCCTGACCAAAGTCCTCAGGTGCCATGAGGACATGACCACACGGGGGTGGAAGGGAGAAGAGCAGAGCAGGGTCCTTCACATGTCAATCCAGAGCCTAGTCTGAGCCTCATCACCCTCCAGAAGTGGCAATGCAACCAGTGTGTGACCTGCAGGACTCCACCACATCTCCACAGAGTCTCACCAGGCACCAACTGTGCCTTCCCTCTTCCTTCTTCCTTCCCAGGATTGGCCGCCGCCCAGTCATTCTGATCTCCATCCTCCTCCAGGGCTTGTTTGGTCTGGGAACTGCCTTTGTGCCCCACTTCTATGTGTACATGGCCTTCAGATGTGTTGTGGGGGCTTCTGTGACAGGGATCACCATGACATTACTGTCCTTAGGTGAGTAGGACAGGCAGATGTGACCTCTCAAGATGCAACTGGAAAGGTCTGTAAAGAAATTAAAATTATTGTGTACAACTTGACAAACCCCCCGGTGGGGACAGGTCTTGCTCCGCACTGCCCTTTGGCACTTTGACATCTCTCCAACCTGGGTGAGAGCCACAGGAATCATCTCTCCCACGCCAGTGCTCAGAGGAGGGCAGTGGGACAGTCTGCCAGCTCCAGGAGGTCAGTGCAGAGGGAGAGCCCCATGGCTCTGGGACATGATCTGGGCCAAGCTCTGCCCAGTGAGGGGCTCTGTGGATGCTGGCAGAAGAGAGGTTGTGTACCTGAGCTTCATGTCCTCTTGAGAGGACCAGGACAGCCTGAAGATAAGGAGAGGTGATGCATCTAATGAAATGATGGTGACTTACATGTGTGACTGATGCCAGAGCTCTGCCTGCTGGCCTCCTAACCTCCCGGAGAGCCCTTCTCCAGGGGAAACACCCTGTAAGTATCAGGGGAAATGGTTTCCATGGGTGACTCTGAACCTTCATTCCTCTCTTCAGCTGCAGAGTGGATTGGTGTCTCCCAGCGGCCAAAGGCAGTGCTCATTTCTCACTGCTGCTTTGCCATTGGAGAGATGATCTTGGCTGGTCTGAGTTATGGGATCCGCCACTGGAGGCTGCTGCAGATTGCAGGGTCTGCTCCTATATTTGCCTTTCTCTTCTACATGCGGTAAGTTGGACCTGGAAAGAGCTTCTTGCTCTGTCATGACATGACAGCAGTGGGTGTGAGGGGGGACCATGAGCAGGAACCAGCTCAGGAGCAGGCTGGGTCTTCCCCATTGAAGTGCAGATGCTGGAGGGGCTTCTGCAGAGCTCAGCACTTCTCCCTGGGGCCCTGGGTCCCCAAGACCAGCAGCTGCTTTGCTTCAGGTCTTCAAAAGTGCCCTTTGGGTCCTCAATGTGAGCCTGGAACAACTGGCCTGAGGAGAAGCTCAGGCCCAGCCATCACATGTGATGCCCATGACTTGCTGGACATGGCCACAAGGAGCAGGGCTGTGGGAAACCTCAGCAGGTCAGGGCACCACCTCCTGATTTCATCTCCTTGGCAGGGTGCTCCCAGAATCAGCTCGGTGGCTGTGGTGGCGGGGGTAACTGCTGGTTCTCTTCAGAGGCTTCCCTGGGTTTGTCGCACCCACTGAAGCTGAGGCCATTGATCAACATCTTCCCACGCCCACTGGGGCTGATTTGGGATGGACTGTGGGTGCTTCCAGCTTCAGCTGCTTTGGACAGAGTCGGGGCAAAGTCTGTGCTGCAAGGGCAGGGAAGAGCAGAGCTGCTGCTGAGGCTCAGCCTGGAGCTTGCTGGAGTCCTCCTTGGGGTGTGGAAAGGACCCAAGTGCTTCCCTGACTTTTCTTCAGGGAGGATCAGCACCAAGGCTCTTTAGTCTGTGGCTTTCCAGGCATAAATGCCCCAACACGGGCTCACCCCCAAGCCCCTGCCCTGGGGAAATGTTCACCCCAAGGAAGCTCCTGGTCACCAAACTCCTGGGCTGGGCACCCAGAGCAAACCAGAGCTGCCCATGGGTTCCCTCTGCCTGCTTTGACTCCTTGGCTTTCTACCTTTTAAAGCTGAAGCCTGAGATACAGAGCAAGCCTGGAAGTGTCCTGGATCTCTTTCGGAAGAAGCACCTCCGGAAGGTGACCCTGATCATGTCATGCACCTGGTAAGACATTTTCTACTCCTCTCTAAACTTGCAGGTCAATAAAAGAAAGGACTGTCAACCTTAACTCGTGGTTTTTGGGTGTCCTTGAGGGATCTTTCTCTCTCTGGCTACACAAGATGCTGTGTGGCTTGTTCATGGCCAATAGACATGCTGAATGTCACCCTGCCTGGCTTCCAGGTTTGCAGACAGCCTTGCCTACTATGGACTGAGTCTGAACTTGACAAATTTTGGTCTGGACATCTACCTGACCCAGCTTGCCTTTGGAGCAGTGGAAATTCCATCCCGCATTGTTTGTATCTTCATTCTGCAGTGGTTTGGGAGGAAGAAAACTCAGGCTTTTCTCCTGCTGCTGAGTGGCCTGGTGTGTCTGGTCATCACTGGCATCCCTGAAGGTGAACAACCTCTTCCCATCCTGAGAGGACAACCTCTGGTTCAGGGAGGCATGGAGTCTCAACCTTTCCATTGCTGGGACAGGTCCTGTCCTCCCAACCAAGCTGGCTCATACCTCTCAGGGCTTGTGCTGACCCTGATGCCATGACCACAAGGGACTTGGTCAACTCCCCAAGGTCCATTCTGGTCAGCAAACCTTTGTGACAGGAGAGGGTAGAGCCAAGCCCAATAGGCCACCTATTAGCAGAGTTGTCCTCTAGGGAAATTAACGTGTGGGGAGGTGAGATGATGGTTGCAAAGTGCAGTGGAGGTGGCCCCCAGGCCACAGCTGTTCCTCAGCCCACGTTTGGGAATCATTCATAGGTGATGGTCCCCTGAAGGTGACACAGTTGTCATTGTGCATCCCCAGCCTCCATCCCCAAAGAGTGCTGGGCCCTCCCTTGTCCCACAGTGGCCTTCTCTCCTCCTCCCCTCAGACCAGCCTGTGGTGACCACCGTCCTGGCCATCATTGGCAAGTTCACCGCCTCAGCCGCCTTCTCCACCTCCTACGTCTACAGCGCAGAGCTCTTCCCCACCGTGCTCAGGTGAGGTCTCTCCAGGCACTGGGGCTTCCCTTGGCCATGGCTGGTGTCAGTGGAAGGGAAAAAGCCCAGTTGTCGTTTCCATGGTGGCCCAGGGGGTCCAAGCCCTGCCCACACCTCCCTTGCTCCCCCAGGCAGACCGGGCTGGGAATGTGCTCGATGTCGGCACGGTTGTCGGGGATCCTGGCCCCCTTGGTGCTTCTCCTGGACCAGTACCACCCAGCCATCCCCATGGCCATCCTCGGGAGTGTCCCTGTAGTGGTGGGGCTGCTGTGCTTCCTGCTGCCCGAGACCCGTGGCACCGAGCTGGCAGATGACACAGGGGACACCCACCCCCCGGCTGAGGTGGGTTCCCTGGGGTGGTGGCCCTGGGGGGTTTCTTCAAGGGCTTTACAGAGATGGGAGGGCAGGGAGAGGGGCTCACTGACTGCAGAGGGAAGGGAGGAGACCTCATTACAGTGCCCATGGTGGCCCCATGGTGGCCGTCATCCCTTCATTCCCATCCTTGGAATGGAAGGGCTCCTGCAGTGGCCAGGGCTTCACCTGTCCTTCCACTAGTGAAAGGCTAGTGCCCTGTAGCTGTGTCCTCTGACGTGTGGCCTTGTGTAGCCCCCAGCACCCCATTGCTCATGGGAGAGGGTGGCATTGTGCCCCGAAACCTTTGCTGGGAGAAGGTTCTTTCATGGGGTCCCAGAGAGAGAGTGATGAATGGGAAGCCAGGTTGCTGAAGGCTGTTGTCAGCTCCTGGTGGGTCTGGCTTGGCTTTTTAACTCTCCTCCCTTCCACTAGGTCCGTGAAAATGCCAACAGCAGCTCTGAGAAGGGGCACGTGAAAGGAAAAGATGGTGGCCAAGACAACGAATGCACAAAGACCACTTACTTCTAGCTGGGCCTGCACGTGGCTGTGGCAAAAGGCAACCCAGTGCTGTGGGGCAGTGAGGAGAGGCAGGGTCTCCATTTGTGGGCCACCACCACCTCTCCAGCCATCACTGCCAATCCCTGTTTTTCCTTTTCTTTGTTTGCCTTCCCGTATCTCCCTCTCTAGCTCATCCCCAGGCACTATATGCTGCCCCTGGTGTTCCACAGGTTCTTGCTGGAGAAAACCTGATGCTTTTCCATTTAAGGGACAAAACATAGAAATCAGAAACTTAGGAAGGAGGCAACATTTTTCTTTTTTTTTTTCCTGTCCCATCTCCAGGAAGGTGAGACTGTAAACTTTGTCCAAGCAAGACACCTGCTAGAGCACTGCACAGCCTCACCACAGGGTGCTGTGCTCACTAAAGAGAAAGCCAGAGCAGATGCAGCACTGAAAACAAGCTCACATGTGCAAGAAGGAGTGATTTGCCTTGACCACCATCACCTTGCCACCCTCTCTTAAAAACACTCCTTTTCTGATTTATTTTTTTTTTTTTAAATTTTCAGTTTGAGGCAGCTGAGGAAAAAAAAACCCAAAGATGTGATGACCAAAGCAGTGAGCAAGGATGTCTGACAGGCAGCAGGATTTTTGCCTGAGTGTTGGTGGCTTTGGGTGAAAGCATGTCAGGATGCTCTGTGCACAGAAAATTGGGCTGTGGTGTAGGACCATGGTAACTTGTCTGTTCCAGGAAGCTGAGAGACACGGTGGCAGCTGGTCTCTTAGGAGAAAGTGCAGATCTTTCTGGGACTATCAGGTCTGTTCTGTTCTCTTCTAGTCTGTTCCTTCCTGCTGTGCCCATTTCTGTCTTTAAACAATTTAGGACCTTTTTTTTTTTTTCCTTGTATTATGAAGAAAAAAACCCTGTGTTTTTCCTGTGCTTCCCCTCCTGTCATCTCCTGTCCCTCAAGATGAATTTCTTTTACCACTGGCTTGGGACAGATGAAGTCCAGAAGTTACTGATGGTGGTGGTCCAGCTCTGTCTGCAGACAGCTCAAAGGCTATTTTCAGATAGTGTCAAGAAGCTTTTAAAGCAGACTTTGTTCTCTCTGTTGTCATCCCTGCATGTTTCCGTGGATCAAAGTGTGGATGTTCAGTCTGATGAAGACTGAGTTTTGGATAAAATCAGTGACATGTGGCAGTGCCCCACCAGGAGGGGCTGCCTGTGGTGCCACCTTCTCTCTGGCACTGCTCTTCTAAGGATTAGCTGTTGTGCTCCTGTTGGGTGGCCCTGAGGATAGAGGAGCTCAGTCCTTGCCCAGGGACCCACTTTCCTTGGCAAAGCCTGGGGCTGCGTCCTTTGGGCTTCTATGGAGAATGAGGTGTTGAGTATGAAGGCTGAGGGAAAAGCTTGGAGCAAAATGCTCGGTTATTGACTGAACCTCAGCTACTTTGGAGAATTCTGCTCTTAAGAGTTTCTGTTTCTGCTTGCTTCCTAAATAAAGGTGTCCAAGCACATCTGATGTACTTCTGCTTCCATCTCATTCATGCCTCTAGTAGGCTGAAGATCCGCGTCATCTGCTCTCCTCTAGGCAACTGCACCTGGTAGTTTGAAGGCCACTGGTTGGTGCACTTTTGGCTGAAGAGCACCTGAACAGCTTGACTAGTTCTGTTTTGCCCAGCTCAGCAGAAACTAGGGGGGGTCTCCAATGGGTTTGCTGGTGCTTAATGTTGCTGCTGCCTGGTCCACACATGCTCTTTCACTGTGCTAACAGAGCTCACAGCACAGAGCTGAGCTAGGTGTGGTGGGGCAGCGTGGGAGAAAGCAAGTAGCTTTTGCAGGCATGCAATGGGGTACTTTGGGCTTTTTTTTGAGTCCTCTGTAGCTTGGAAAGCCTTTCCTCTCTGTGGATCTCAACATATGGGCTCCACTTACCCTGCCCTGGTAGCTTCCATCCATGGCTTATTTAGCTCCCATGGCCCTGGTATCCAGAGCCTGCAGTATCCTACAGTGCCTAAAAATCCTCACAGTTGAGGTATCTCTACAATAGTCTGGACACGTTCTGGGTCAGCTGAGCTTTGTCCTTTTAATACCAAACCTAAATGTTTTACTTCCTAACAAGACAGCTGAAGCTGAGAAAGAGATGCATGGTGACCTTTTTTCCTGCTAAAACAGTACATAGATGTGCAGTGTCTTTTATATAGGTGTCCTCATCTGTACTTGCTATAGGCAAATGGTTTGCCTGGTAGTTTTATGTTTTCATGAAGAAATGGTAGGAGACTCTACAAACCCTTGTGGGAGATGCATCCAGGTTAATTCTTGTATGTTGCATGGAAAGGCAAACAGAAGTTGACTGTCCTCATCTAAAGGGGTACTAAAGAGAGTGCTGGTTAGATTAATCACAGTAAAATGTCTTGCCCAATGTGGCATTTGAAAAAGTCTGGTTGAGGGATCAGGCACTACTGGATGGGGAGCCACTGTGTGTTTGTTATCTACCAGCTGATCTTGTACAAAACAGTATTACAGGTCCCCAAAATCATTTAATTTATTATTATTATTTAAATTGGTTTTGAATGCTCTTTTCATCTTCCTGGGGAAGAGGACATTGTTTCACAGCTGGACAGGGGTTTCTTACCTTTGTTTTTATGCTTATGGGTTGAACTGAAACTACTCATCCTACATCTGTACCAAGTAGACTGGTATTTAGCCCAAAAGAAATGTTACAAATACACTCCTATACTCCCTGTAAAAAATAATGTTATGATGTAAGGGGTCAAGCCTTACAGTTGAATTAGTTGCAGTAGCTGCAGCTGAAGTTCTTTCTCCAGGTTTTCATACTCCTTTTTGACCATCCTCTTCATGGTGGTTATCTACTCAATTACCTCATACATACCAACAATCCATTTGTTCTGGGAATCTATTCTTTAGATGATGCCACAAAAAGGTGAGGTTTTGCTGATGAAAAGTCTCTTGTAGTGGCCACTGTTCTGCTGGGTTTCTATCTCAGTTTATGAATGACCAACCTTCTGGGCATAAAATAACTGAGGGCTTTTTTTATAAGTCCACAAATAAATTTTCCCCCAGTTCTGTAAGACCTTGCCCAAGGGTTTCCATTTTTCTACCCCAAGAGCATTTCCTGTTTCTTCCTCTTCCCTCAGGCTTGACCTTATGTTTCCCAGAACAAAGCCTCAGATATCAAATCCTATTGTATAAAAAGCTAATTCACTCCAATGATGCAGTGGAAAACCAGCTTGAGCTGGATGCCTCTGGAAAGAGACCCTGAAAAAGAAATCTCTGGGCAATTATACCCTTACATTCTAAGTTCCCCTCCCCTCATGTGATTATTTGGTCTAATAGTAATATTAGGGTGTGGACTGATCCTATTCCTCACTGGATCCTTTCTCAGTCTCCAAGTAGGCTGTTCCTTTTCTTATCTTGATGGATGCAGCTTCTGCTGATGGCTGTAGTTTCCTTATCTTTCAGCCTGAACATGCTCTGGAGCCTTGTCCTACTGAACTAGGCAGAGATTCAACAAAAAGTTCAGCATCTGCCTTGGTGAAAGTTACAGCCTCAGCAGCTCTAGCTAGTCATGCTCACCAAGTCAGCTACCAATGCTAAGCAAGGCTACTCATTCTATCACTCCTTAAGAGGTAGAGCCAAAAGGCTGATGAGCAGGTGAGGACAAAAGGGAGTAGCAAGGTTTAGCTGGGAAGAGCAGATGCAAGACCTCTATGAATGACTTACCAAGCCAGGAGTGGAGGGCCAGCTGTGGGAAGGTGCTGAATGTGACAGCATTGCCAGGGTCACCATGAAGGGTTTGCTAAGGCACAAAAATTAATGTCTAAGCCTTCTTCAGGCCCTCCTCTATCAGACACAGCAGCAAGGCCCTGCTCCTGAGCTTTTTATAGAGTAATTTATATTGGAAAAGACCCTTAAGGGCATTGACTCCAAATCTGTGTTCAAGTCAGAACCTCTCAACCTCCATTTCCCCTTTGGAGGTGACTGAGGTTCATGCATCAGAACCTCCCCACTGCTGAGGAAGCTGGTCAGGCAGGGCCAGAGGTATCTAAGGCATGGAGGGGCAGCAGAGCCTGGGCTGGCCCTATTCCCTGAGGTGAGGAGCCATGGGCAAAGCAGCTCCTGTTGCCAGAGGAGCCCCACATGGACCACTGAGACACTCAGCACAACCTTGGTGTTGGTGACACCAACAAACTGTGCTGCAACCCTGATTCCTGGCTGTGGGGCAAGGATCCTGGACCTTACCCTTTCACAAGAGGGTATTGTCCTCCCCTTCCTCCTCACCCCCATGCTGGGAAGGCCCCAATTCCATAACCAGGGCAGAAAGAGAGAGAAGCAGTGGGGAATGTTTGAGGAGGTGAGAAGCAGCATTGATCCTCCTCTCATGACTCTGCAATGGGTCAGTGTCAAAGACCAGATCCTCCCAGTGCCCTGCCCTATCTCCAGCCATGGCCATGTGAAACTGGGGAGGCTTTGTGCACCAAAGCCAAAACACAAGCATCACCTGCAGACATGTCTGTCCTGGAGACATCAAACCACCATTTCCTACAGCACAAAGCAGTCGGAAACAAAAGGATGCTACCAACCTGAGTGACCAGCCTTCTTCTTTGACCAGCTTTGGGCTGTACTTTGAGGAGATGGCTTCATGAAAGGGTACCCAATAGTGCACAAATGGGCACCCTGCTTGCAAAAAGGTAGCAAAGGAGAGGAGGCCACACTTCTCTTTCTTTGGTGTGACACTAGATTACACTAAAATGCTGTGGCTGAGCTGGCAGCAGCCAAGAAACGTCACTGTTAAAGGCTGGTCATCACTAGGGATAGTTGTCCAGGTGCCCACTCAGTGTAACTGACTGAATTGCAGCTCACATTACACAATTCAGGAAAATTCCACAGCTGCTACTAGAGGAAATAAATACAGATTGTTCATCAGAAGGCAACGGAAGGAAAAAAAAGTCCAAATTGAACTCAGTTCTTCTGCTTTAGCACTCTGTTTCTGCATTGTTTGTGGCTGATGGAAACCAAACACGTTTCCATCTGTGTGTTAAATTACAGGCTTACAATTTCTGTGTGGAAAACACTCCAGAGCCAATAGCAGTGACAAAGGCCAACTGTGAAACAGGAGAGGGGAAGAAGGAAAGGAAGAAATCAACACCATTTATTACCCACATATTGCATGACGAGTGTCTCTTACCAAACGCAGAGTATAATTGATTATGATTCATGTAGGAACTCAAATATTATTGATGTTATTCATAGAAACTCCAATTCAACCCCACAGGACTGAAAGCTAAAGAGGTGTGTGACAGGGTTGCAGTGACATCCTGATGGAAGGCGGAGGCCCCAGGCCAGCAGGGCAGGAGGGACACGGCCCCACGCCCGCCTGCCCAGGCCCCCCACTCTGCTGGCAGCTCTTTATTGCTGTAAAACACCACAGGGATGGTTCCACGGGTACCAGTTTGCAAAGGGCTGGGAAGGACGTCGGGAGGACTCGCACAGCCAGGCAGAACAGACTGGGTTTCAGGGCTGAAGGGCGTCTTTGCCAAACGCAGAGTGAGACAGAGCTCCTCTCCCTCCGACTGTGAATGTTCTGCTGAGCATCTCATAGACCAGTTTCCAGGCAGCAATGCCTCACTGGGCTGCTTCAAGAAAGAGGGGATCACCCTAGACCTTTAGGATACAGCTGCCCTTTCATCATCTGATCTTCAAGCATCTTAGCTGTTCTCCAAGTCTACACCATGGCCTGGGTTGTCTCCCGTGGATGATCTCCTGTTGCTAAAGACAGGAAGGGAAGAGGGAGACACAATACTGTTTTCATCCTGGTTTCTGACACATTTATCTTTGCCCTAAGTCTACGCTTTTGGATTTTTTGGCCCTGAATTGAGAACGCCAGGTCACCCACCTCTGCTGGGAGGCAGCCACCCCCATGTCATCTGCCAGCTCGGTGCCACGGGTCTCGGGCAGCAGGAAGCACAGCAGCCCCACCACTACGGGGACACTCCCGAAGATGGCCATGGGGATGGCCCGGTGGTACTGGTCCAGGAGAAGCACCAAGGGGGCCAGGATCCCCGACACCCGCGCCGACATCGAGCACAACCCCACGCCGGTCTGCCTGGGGGAGCAAGGGAGGTGTGGGCAGGAATAAGCATCCCCTGGGGCCACCGTGGGACAGATTGCAGCCACAGGGACCACCAGGCTCTTGCCTGACACCAGCTATGGTGAAGGGACCCTCCAGTGTGTGGGGAGACCTCACCTGAGGATGGTGGGGAAGAGCTCTGCAGTGTAGACATAGGAGGTGGAGAAGGCAGCTGTGGATGTGGACTTGCCAATGATGGCCAGGATGGTGGTTGCCAAGGGCTGGTCTGAGGGGAGGAGGAGAGGCTGCCACTGTGACCTCCGTGGAGAAGGTTCAGTTCAAACCAAAGGTTTAAAGTGAGATTTCTTGGGACAGCTCTTTCTAATGGACTTACAAAAGAAATTTACCACCTAACCCATTAACAATCCTTCCTAGCACACCCTTGCCTAGAAAATACCCTCTGGCCAGCTGGCAAAGAAAAGCAAGATGGCATTTCCTAAATTTGCAAATGGAGTGAGCTACTGAGCCACTGCAGGTCTTCAGGGAGTGCTCAGTTGGAACTATCATGTCCAAGAGCTTGAAAACATCATGTAGCCCCTCTGTCTCTCCTTCAGCCTTACTCACATCGCTAGCACAGCAGCAGGAGTGAGTGTAGGACCCCTGGGAATCTGTAGGTAGAAACAGATAAGGGAGGGGCATTATCTTTTCCTGTTCATCTAAAGAAGGGAGACATGGTGGCTTTTAAAATGCCTCTTCTGCTACATCTTTCTGAGAGGAGGTGGAAATGTCTAGCAGGTGGAGGTGGTGGTGTCTAGTGGGTGGTGACGTGTAATGGACTGTTTTGTGCTAGGAGATATGGAAGGACCAAGCACAGCTCTGAAGGAGAAGAAAGTCCTGCAGAGAGGAAGCCAGCACGCTGGGAATGCAGCCCCTCGGGCTGTGGACCTGGAGGCAGCTCAGCCTCTGGGAGTGAGTCTGGGTCTGTGGTCAGCCAGGCTGGGAGGATGGGTCTGACCCAGGGTAGAGCTGGCTGGAGCTCTGCCTGCCTCTGCTCCTGGGCTGGGAAGAGGTTGTTCACCTTCAGGGATGCCAGTGATGACAAGACATATCAAGCCAGACAGCAGCAGGAGCAGAGCCTGGGTTTTCTTCCTTGGAAATGTCTAGCAGGTGGAGGTGGTGGTGTCTAGTGGGTGGTGACGTGTAATGGACACTGCCTGTTTTGTGCTAGGAGATATGGAAGGACCAATCACAGCTCTGAAGGAGAAGAAAGTCCTGCAGAGAGGAAGCCAGCATGCTGGGAATGCAGCCCCTCGGGCTGTGGACCTGGAGGCAGCTCAGCCTCTGGGAGTGAGTCTGGGTCTGTGGTCAGCCAGGCTGGGAGGATGGGTCTGACCCAGGGTAGAGCTGGCTGGAGCTCTGCCTGCCTCTGCTCCTGGGCTGGGAAGAGGTTGTTCACCTTCAGGGATGCCAGTGATGACAAGACATATCAAGCCAGACAGCAGCAGGAGCAGAGCCTGGGTTTTCTTCCTCCCAAACCAAAAAAAAGGAATATGCAGGAAATCCGAGCTGGTAACTCCACTGCCCCAAAGGCAAGCTGGGTCAGGTAGATGTCCAGACCAAAACCTGTCACGTTCAGACTCAATCCATAGTAGACAAGGCTGTCTGCAAACCTGAAATGCAAGACAAAAGGAATAGAACATGTAACCAGATGGGTTTTCCAGGGGTTTGTCTTTAAAAATTAGGATGGTTGGGCCACACTCAAGTCATTTAAACTCCCAGCAATCTGTTTGCTTTCTACTCACCACCTGTGGCAACCCTGTGGATTGTAGTTGCAGGAGATAAAACACTATGAAAAACCATGTTTGGCAAATTTAAGAATGCACCCAGAATTTTAGGGGGCCCCAAAACTATGTCAAGGCCCAAGGATTACCAAAAGCTGGAATTACTCCAGCCTTCCTCAAAAACCCCACAGAATAACTGAATAACCCAAGCCCAACAGCTTCTCCCCATGCCCAGAGAAAGATCCAGTATGGAGAGGCAGAAAGATTAACAGGAGAGCCCATAGACATAAAATGACCCCAAAATCACCTGTAGTGAATTTATACTTCTTGACAATCCTCAGTCTCCTCACTTCACCTGTATGTTTGGGAATGTCTTACCAGGTGCATGACATGATCAGGGTCACCTTCCGGAGGTGCTTCTTCCGAAAGAGATCCAGGACACTTCCAGGCTTGCTCTGTATCTCAGGCTTCAGCTTTAAAAGGTAGAAAGCCAAGGAGTCAAAGCAGGCAGAGGGAACCCATGGGCAGCTTCTTTCCCTCTGGTTTGCTCTGGGTGCCCAGCCCAGGAGTTTGGTGACCAGGAGCTTCCTTGGGGTGAACATTTCCCCAGGGCGGGGGCTTGGGGGTGAGCCCGTGTTGGGGCATTTATGCCTGGAAAGCCACAGACTGAAGAGCCTTGGTGCTGATCCTCCCTGAAGAAAAGCCAGGGAAGCACTTGGGTCCTTTCCACACCCCAAGGAGGACTCCAGCAAGCTCCAGGCTGAGCCTCAGCAGCAGCTCTGCTCTTCCCTGCCCTTGCAGCACAGACTTTGCCCCGACTCTGTCCAAAGCAGCTGAAGCTGGAAGCACCCACAGTCCATCCCAAATCAGCCCCAGTGGGCATGGGAAGATGTTGATCAATGGCCTCAGCTTCAGTGGGTGCTACAAACCCAGGGAAGCCTCTGAAGAGAACCAGCAGTTCCCCCTGCCACTCCAGGTACCTGCTCCAGGAGTCCTGGTGGGATGGTGCACTTGTTTGTGGCTGCTGCCTTCTGAAGGAGCTTCTTAGCTTCTTCTACTCTGCCTTTTGTCACCAGCCACCGAGCTGATTCTGGGAGCACCCTGCCAAGGAGATGAAATCAGGAGGTGGTGCCCTGACCTGCTGAGGTTTCCCACAGCCCTGCTCCTTGTGGCCATGTCCAGCAAGTCATGGGCATCGCATGTGATGGCTGGGCCTGAGCTTCTCCTCAGGCCAGTTGTTCCAGGCTCACATTGAGGACCCAAAGGGCACTTTTGAAGACCTGAAGCAAAGCAGCTGCTGGTCTTGGGGGCCCAGGGCCCCAGGGAGAAGTGCTGAGCTCTGCAGAAGCCCCTCCAGCATCTGCACTTCAATGGGGAAGACCCAGCCTGCTCCTGAGCTGGTTCCTGCTCACGGTCCCCCCTCACACCCACTGCTGTCACGTCTGCCAGCTCTGCCCTGCTCCTGCTTACCAGATGTAGAAGAAGAGGGCAAACATTGGAGCAGACCCTGCAATCTGCAGCAGCCTCCAGTGGCGGATCCCATAACTTAAGCCAGCCAAGATCATCTGGCCAAGGGCAGAGCAGCAGTGAGAAGCAAGCACTGCCTTTGGCCGCTGGGAGACACCAACCCACTCTGTAGCTGCGGAGAAGGTGAAGGTTTTCAAAACGTGCAGGACTATCTCTTGTTATTGCATCTTGTGAGGCCACATCCATCTGCCTCAGGGCAAGGGCATCCTACTCACACAAGGCCAAGGTGACAATCAGAGTCCCGGACACTCCAGCCCCCACGACACATTTGAAGGCCATGTACACATAGAAGTGGGGCACAAAGGCAGTTCCCACCCCAAACACAGCCTGGAGAAAGATGGAGGTCAGAAACATCGGCCGACGGCCAAGCCTGGGGAGGAAGAGGGAAGACACAGGTGTTATCTGCAGGGACCCCTTGGCGATGGGGAAGAGCCCAGGTGGAAGGCAAAGTGACTTGAGAACTATTCACACCAGAGGAGATTTGACACCCATGTGAACAAAGCTCCTCTCTAGGTCCCAGGAAGTGATGGTCAGGAAAAGCAGTATCGCCACTTTTGCCCCGTGATGGTGCCAGCAAAGGCAAAATGAACCTGCCCTGGAAGGGCCCCGTGTCCCCTCTCCTGAGGGTACTGAGGATCAGATTGAATTGCACTACAGTGCTGGTTCCCCTTTGAGGCACTCCGTGCACATGCTGTGCCCTTCTCCATCCATGTTCCCTGTGTGCATGTTCTCTAGGGAGCTGAGGGCTTTGGTCTGGGCACCATGAGCTGAGCAGAGCCAGAGGCAGGAGGGACATGTGTCCTGGTTGACATCGATGAAGGTGAGTCCAGCTCTGTGCTCAGGTTTCTGGGATTCCTGGAGACACCCTTGGGTAGCTGAGTTGCCAGTTGGGGCTGGACCTCTGATTGCTGAAAGACCCTTACCATAAGACTGTATCTGCTCTTCTCTTTTTTCAACCCTCAGACATCTACAGATGAGTCAAGTGACCCCAGACACCCTTGCTCAGGCAAAGGGATCGAGTCCCTGCAGAGAGTGTTTCATGCTCAGTGCATGGGTATCCTGAACTCTCTGCTGGGCTGTCTCTGGGTGCTGGGCAGTAACTCTAGGAAGGTGGCTGTGTTTCCTCACCTGTCACTTAGTGGCCCAAAGGTTAGGGCTCCTAGGAGAAGCCCCATCATGTAGACAGACTGGGAGATGTCAGTCAGGTCCTTCTTGTCACACACCAGGTCAAACTGGAGGAAGGAAACACAGCTGCTTTTGCTCTCCACAGCTTCCAGCTGCTTTCTGAGGGCAGGCAGCCCTTCTGGTCCATGGTGGGCCCATGAGTTGGGTGCCTGAGTTCTCACTCTAGCCCCTGGGAGCAAAGAACCCACCCCAAAGGACACCTCCCTGGGGTGCACATGGGACAGAAGTCAGAGGTGGGACAGGAGGTTCTCAGCCTGCCTGATGCACAGTGTGCATCTCCTGAGTGCTGGGACATGCAGGACTCCCTTCCAACTCAGGCACCCCCAAGGGAACAACCTGCTTGGCAAGTTTTCCTTAAAGTGGGACCTTGGGGTAAATAAGAGTCCTAGCAGCTTGTTTCTCTGGCTGCAAACTCAGGACAGGGTGGAAGGGGGTGGAGGAGGCAGGAGAGCAGTGTTTTCTCAGGTAAAGGAGGACTGATGTGGGAGTGGGAAGGGATACAGCAGCTGCTGAGGAGCCTCTAGAAAAGTTGGTTGTGAAATGGACAGACACAGTGTTGCAGAGACCCCAGGGCGCCTTTGCAAATGCCAGAGCTGGGCTCTCCTGGTTCAGCTCAGAGAAAGGTACTCGAAAGAAACTGCTGGAGAAGAGAGGGAGGAAGAAAGGAGGAAGAGAGAGGAACGAGGGAAGTGGAGAGAGGATCAGAAGTCCAGAGAGGAACAGGTTGGGGATGTTGACAGACAGAGCCTTAGCTCAACTCCATGGCCCACAGATGTCTTGTTGCAGCCCTGAAAGTCTCTGGAGGCACCAAAATACAGAATCATAGAATCATGGAATGGTTTGGGTTGAGAGGGACCCTAAAGATCATCTAGTTCCAACTGCCCTGCCACAGACAGAGACACCTTCCATTAGACCAGGTTGCTCAAAGCCACATCCAACATGGCAAGGCCTTGGAAAGTAAATTTCTTTCACAGAGAAGGTGATGTGAGGACAACCAGGCTGAAGAATAAAGAAAACTAGCAGGGGCATCCAAAAGGTCCCTCCAGGTAAGATGCATTGTGTGTTCAGGGGCCTGGATACTGGAGAAAGGGAGAGATGGTGGACACAGCAAGTGCTGGACTCACATCTCCACCATCTCTGCCTGTGGCATCCCATGGAATCTATGTCATGATCTTCCTGCAACAACATCCCAAAGATGCATGATGGAGCCAAAGTCCCCCCAGTGCCTGGTGTAAGTCTCAGCCTGACGGACCCACAGCTGGCACTGGGTTCCCAAGCTCCAAGGACCAGATGTGTCCATCCCTTCCCCTCCCACGCCCCCACCCCATCAGAAGGTGGTTACAGACCTCGGTGAGCAGGGAGGGGGGCTGTGCTGAGGGGTACACCCAGCCATCTCTGCAGCCCTCCGTGGCGTTCAGGCCGTACGCCAGGATGGAGCCCAGGTCCCAGCCCACCGGCGAGTACCGGGAGCAGCGCTCGTACGCCCCGTCCGCGTCCCGGGGCAGGGTGAGGTTCAGCTGCTCTTCCTCTGTCAGGTTGGGCCCCACGGCACGGATCCAGCTGGTGTCACAGTGGTGAGGCACGTCCACCACCATGAACACCTGGCCGATCATGTGGAAAGCGGTAAGGAACTGCGGGAGGCAGAGGAGCAGTATCAGGAGCTTCTGGTACCGCCCGAACTCCCCCGCGGCGCTTATGAAGTCTCCGAACTCAGCCATGGTGGCAGCTGCTGTGGCCTGGCTGCCCCACAGCACCTGGCTTAAATAGGCAAGTATTAATGTTTAAACTCCCTGCTCAGATGTGATAAAATGAGCTGTTGTATCAGCACGTTTGTGCACGATGATGATAGTGCTGCAGTCCTCCAGGGTGTACTTTGTCACCAGCCATTCCCTCCCTGTTCTCGGGAGCAGAACAAAGGTGCCACAGCATTGCCACTCTTGAGGACAGAGTGGGGACAGTTTATCTTGTCCCAGCAAGGAGTGTCTCCTAAGGCCTCCTGAAGGTAACTGTGCTGCAGAGCAAGGCTTTTGTCTGAGACTTGAAGTTGAGACTCTGCAAGTGGAGGCTCATTTTCCTAAGTGTGGTGATGCAAACAGAGTCAATTTGCTGCTTTATAGTTAAATGGTTTAATGGATATATAGCCCTTAATGGATATATAGCCCTTCCTGGACACTAGAGGAGAGAGAAGAAATAAAACACTTTTCTGGATGAGGAAATATGGCTGGTAGTCAAGTAGACTTGTTCTTGACAGCCCTGTCTCAAACTGTTGGCTTTCCTTTTACCCTCTATCCATCTCTGGCCATGTTGTGAGATGACTTCATAGAATCATAGGATGACAGCTTGGAAGGGGCCTTAAAGATCATCTGGTTCAGCCTTTCTAGGCAGGAACACAGTTCAGATGCAGTGGCCCATGTAGAAATCCTGGTTAGTCATAAAATAAGATCTAAACTGAAATGTCTTGGGGAGAATCCTGAAATAGATTTGGCTTAGAGAGCACCCCTAAGGAAAACACAGCTCATTGTGCACAGACACACAGCACACAGGATTTGGGGATAAGAAATGACATCAGCTTGGCTTTGCCTGAGGTTCTGATGCCACTTGAGAAGCAGCTTGACCTGATTTCTGCTGGGTGTCTGAGCTGCTTCCTGAACAGGCTGCCTGGGTAGTTTGTATCTTTAGTCCTGGAAATTAGAAAGCCAGGTTGTCCTCAGTGTATGAAATTTGGTGTGCAATTTGGCAAAAGCCTCCTGGGTGCTTTCACCAGAGCCATAAGGACAGGATCACTAGACACAGACCTGCTCACTTGTGTCTCCTTTCTAATTCTTTGTCCTCCAGTCTCAACCCAAATAGTGTGTCTGAGCCTCCAGTGAAGTTACTGAAAGATCACACAGGTCTGGGTTGGTGCTTCATGAGTGGGTATGGCACTGGAGTGCTCATGGAAGTGGGAAGGGGGTAGAAGATAGAATCTTTAAGAATCTTAGAGAATCTTAAATCTAAAAAATCTTAAGGAATCTTAAGATAGAATCTTAAAACATCGGCCCCTAAGCTGCAGTGGGAGAGAGGCCATACTGGTTAATGCTATTGGGAGTAAAGGAAGAGAGGAGTAGATGTTACCTGGAGTTGTGTAAAATTGCTCCAGCAATGTGCATGTACACACAGCACATGTTGCACACAGCCAAGCAGGTCACTGGACTCTGGATCCACATCCTTGGGTGTAAGGACTTGCTGTTATTCAGGGATGTGTGTGTTGGAAAGGAGGCTGAGCAAAGCAACCTCCAGAGGTTCCTTTTGCCCTCAGTCCATCTCTGACCATGTCGTGGGTTGACTTGGCCAAGGAGATCCTCTGTGGCACAGGCATTTTGACCATGTCCTGCT